CGGCCTCCATGTTATTAGTTGATGTGCGTAGCAGTTTGAAAAGTTCTGCCTTCCTTGCTGTAGCGGGGTAGGGGATTTGTCGTCTCCTTAATTCCGTGGTTATGCGCGGGATTGTCCAGGATCTGATTGATGCTGGACTAGCTAGCTCTCCTCCTTGTGTGGGAGTGACAGCTCTAGCCGGGGTGCTAGGCAGGGAGAAATCCTCTACCCCTTCCTGAGACATACTATAAATAAAACAATAATTAGTATATAGAACCACCAAATTGTACTGGCAGGCTAGCTAGGCTGGATGGCGAAAGTATTATACTTGTTTGGTGACAGGTGAGGCCCTGCTAATTGCCAAGCGGCTTGAGAGGCTCTATCTATGCGTTGGCGCGAGGGGTTATTGAGGCCACTTGACATAGTGGCAGGAGTTTTAGGCCTCTCGGTGACTGTACGACAGAAAACAGGGGAAGGGAGTGACAGGTGAGGCCCTCTCTTTGCAACATGCGAGGTGGCTAGCTAACGTGTGGCCCGATGGGTGTTTGCCTCTGGAACGTTTGAGGCGGGGTGTTGGCGACAGCCAAGACAGGGTAAATACCTATTGGGAATCTTGTGACCCTATTGCCAGTACTCTAAACTAGGGGGATGAAATGAAATGTATGGTAGAATACCATATGAGCAGGTGTACGTACCTGGTAGTATGACAAATCACTGGAATAAACCGTGTGGAGCAAATATATAAGCTTGACAGCCTAAAAATGGGTAAAAGAGAGTAGTATGATGAGTGTCGAGTGTGAAAAGAACCAGACTTATAGTCCGTAGCAGCAATGTTTTAAAATTATGTTGATACCATGGGAATAGCTATGAGTGGCTCAGAAATGTTGCATGCTTGAATAAGCCATCTGAGGGAGGCCATGGCCTATGTACAAACGATTTATGTGTTACATGATAATGGTGTGTAAAGGAAAACATGAGATGTAGGTTATATACATATGTATATGACTGTGCAGGGAACGTATGATTGGTTGGATCAGTACGTGTGATTCAACCCGAGTATGCATGAAAAAGGAATTAAGCCTTATGTGTCATCGTCATGACAGAGAAATGAGGCCTGTAATATAGGCTGAGTGACTTGAAATGAAAAATGGATAATTATAAAACTCCTGGCGTGGGAGTTCAATGATCTGTACAGAAATGTAACTGGTTTTATAGAAAGGGACATGGATGAGGTCATGGCCTATTATACACAGCGTTATGTATGATATGTAGCAGAAAACCAAAGGCAGGAATACCCCAAAATTATTTAAAATGATGTGAAGTGATGTATATCTATATGATATATTTGTATTGAAAAGACGTATCAACCTGAGATTTATTGCTTAAATGAAACTATATCCTTTGTATGTGTTGTAGTAATAACCCAGAAGTGAGGCCTGTAACATAGGCTGAGTCCATTTGTATAAATGGATAAGTAATACAGACCCCTGAAAGCGTGGGAGTCAAATGGTATATACAGATAAGTGGACTTGATTTGTGGACGTAATACAATACTGACAATAATTGAAAGTAATCGAAATAATCTATTTAAACAAGCAATTCTTAACCGAACGTTATATACACATGAAATGGTGAATATAATTCATGAAAGGATTATACGTAATATACAGAAAAATCTGAAAGCAAATGTGAGGGAAACACAGAAGTTAGAATAGTTTAACCGTATGACTTTATGCGAACCGAAAGCGTGTTTGAGCGTATGTGAAAATTTGCCGAACGGCAAAACAACCGATTGATAATTCGTTTCAATATAACATGAAATAGGATATGCGAAATGACAATTGAACGATTAAATATGTTCAGCCGAATGACCGTACGAATGAAAAAGCCTGCGAATGGCTTGAAACATTCGGGTCATAACCAGGGAAAAAACGTAAAGCGAGGACCCATGCTGTACTGTACGCCGTGGGAACCAGTCCTGGCGTGACAGGAAGGTCTGACTTACGGTTTAGGAGTCCCTGGGACGCGATCTACGACGAAGACCGGAGTCAGAAGAAGCTGGACGGGCGGAAATGCCTGAACAGGATTCCTGGACACAGCTAACGTGGTGAAAACCTCGTGGATACTGAAACCAAGATGGCGTCTGAGAGAACCCGGAAGTGGATCCTCATTCAACGCTGACCTTGAACGGTAAGGAGCAAGGTAAGGGGAGTGCCTTAAGTAGGCTAGGGGTAGCAAACCAGCACCTCCCACAAATGCAGGCAAATTGCCTTAATACATATAATTTAACAAACTCTAACCTTAGGTGTTGGTTAAAAAAATATTGTAAAATAATATTTGTATGACAATAATACATTTTTGCAGGATTTAAATATACAAAGTATAGTGTATTTTAAGCAACACGGCTGGTTGCTTTTCAATGTACGCTACTTCTTTAATATTACTCCTTTATATTATTTTTTATGTATTCACATTGCATTACTCTTTATCAGAACCTACTTCCAACTCTAATCCATTTTGTCTCTTGCCAGAAGCGAGTGACCTTTGTATCACTTACCAGCTGTAACCTGATTCTTTGTGACACTTATAGGCAATAACTAACTAACATTATTTTCAGCCATAGGAAGCACTGCATGTATAGATGCCCATTAAGGTTCCTAGTTATATAATGCATTGTGTCTGAATACACAAGGAAGAGAGCATTCTTAACATTGGTTCTATTATATTTTCTAAAATACTGATTTTTTTTCTCAGTATTTTATAGTGGGACAGTCATAAATGTTTCACTTAGTGAAACATAAAGAGACACAATAATGGCTTTGATTTAATAATGTTGGATTTGTATTCCAAATGATTTAATACTTTTGGATAAACTTTAATTTTATAATTTTTTTTAAATATATTTAAATATCAAAAAATATTTTGTATATAAAACAAATATATAAATACATAAAAGAATATCAAACTATTACAAAATTAGCAGTTTCATAATATAAAATAATTCTAAAAATGTGTATCCAACAATAATAAATCAAGGCCAATGTAATTAAAAAATGAAAGTTAACATTTATTAACTTAGTCACCTTAATTAAAAAGTAGCATAACATTTATTTGAAACATTGGATGCATATTAAACATTTACAGGAAGAATGAATCTGTTGGGATATTGAAAAATAAAATTAAGTAAATGTGCACAATTTTAATTTTTAATGTTAGACTTTATGTGATATAACTAAACAATTTTAAACATTGACCTTGATTTAAGAAACTTTCCAAATTATCGAATACTGTTACCTTAAAAAAAATCCATAGATTTTTATAGTGATTTCTATAGATAACTAATTTGAAAGTTACCTATTGAATTCTTTATGAAGTTTATTAAATCAAGGGTAAAGTCAGAAATGAACGCAAGGGGTCTAGGACAGGGCAGCCATCGGGAGGTTGCTGTTTCTCTCATCTGGGATTGCTGTATCTCTCGTGCAGAGGGAACTTGCTGGCATTTCGGATCTGGACTGCCTGTATGGGTGGGAACAGTCTGATATGCTTCAAATATGTTCTCTTTGTAATGGCACTAGATGAGCTAAAACCAGTTTGCGATCTGAGCGGGGACCCACTGAAGGGCATGCTAATTGAACTGTTGTCCATCCTCACCTCTCTTGCTACTTGTTTTTCACACATTATAAACATACACTGCACCCAATATAGTAGCACATAGAGTTGAGCGAACCCAGACTGTAAAGTTTGGGTTCGTACCCAAGTACCTAAGTTTTTTGGACCCCGGACCCGAACACGGACATATCACTGTATGTTTGGGTTGAAGTTCGGTGTTCGGCGATTTAATGGCGCGTTTTGAAAGGCTGCAAGACAGACAATCAACAAGCGTTTGAGTTGTGTGTCCTTAGAAGACATCACAGCCATGCCTACTAATGGCTGTGATTGACCAGTGCAGCATATGACCCAGCCTCTATATATAAGCTGGAGTCGCGTAGCGCCGCACGTCACATGAGCTCTTATTAGTGTAGGGACAGGATGCTGGTGCTTTCAGGGACAGATTAGGAAAGAATTCTGCAAACTAGTACATTAGTGGGGTGCACTTCATATCTGATAGTCCAATAGAAGCATCAAATACTGCGGTTACATCTGAGTTTTAAAAAGTCAAATTTTTTTGGTGCTAAATAGTACGTTAGTGGGGTGCACTTCATATCTGAGAGTCAAATAGAAGCGAAAAATACTGCTGTCACATTGCAGTTTTAAAGCTTAAATTTTTTTGGGAAGCGTCAAATAGTGCAGTTACAGCACAGTTGTAAAAATTCTTATTTTATGGGTGCTAAACTGCTAAATAGTACACATTGGGCGTACTCTTCATATCTGAGACTCAAATCGAAGTGTCAAATAGTGCGCTTACAGCGCTGTTGTAAAAATTTGAATTGTTTTGCTGCTAATCTGCTAAATAGTACATTTTGGGGCCTGCTCTTCATATCTGAGAGTCAAATAGAAGCATCAAATAGTGCTCTTACAGCGCAGTTGTAAAAATGATAATTGTTTTGCCGATAATCTGCTAAAAAGTATATTTTGGGGCGTGCTCTTCATATCTGAGAGTCAAATAGAAGCGTCAAATGTTGCGCTTACAGCGCAGTTGTAAAAATTATTATTTTCTGGGTGCTAAACTGCTAAATAGTACATTTTGGGCGTGCTCTTCATATCTGAGAGTCAAATAGAATTGTCAAATAGTGCGCTTACAGCGCTGTTGTAAAAATTCTAATTGTTTTGCTGCTAATCTGCTCAATAGTACATTTCGGGCTTGCGCTTCATATCTGAGAGTCAGATCGAAGCGTCAAATAGTGCATAAAATAGTGCGCTGTTGTAAAAATTCAGCAGCAGGCGATAGTGGAGTTTCAGCTGCAGCACGCACGGGTCAGTCGCTCTGCACCAGTCTTGCCCTCCAATTGATCAGAGTTAAAGGATTTCAAGTGGATTCATTACAATTACAGGTCCTCTAAAGAGTCCTGTATTGTTATTTGTCATCACTACCTCCCCGCGTCCGGAGTGGGTCATTTGCGCACCTGCTGCCTTCCTTACATGTGGTAGCCTTTTGTCAGGGTCCCTGTACGGAATCGAAAACCCTGATTCCCCGTTACCCATGGTCACCATGGTAGGCGCAGTAAATGGCATCAAAGTTGATATGCATTGACATACGAATGCGTCGTCGCCTTGTCGTTGGGGAGCACATTGAAAAAGTGCTCTAGCATGACGAGCTGGATGATCTCCTCTGGGAACTTGGCTTGATGGGAGTTGAGCTAGTTCTGGTGTATACCCAGTTATATCAGAGCTGCTGTAGAAAGTGCGGGTAGTCTGTGCGCGCTTTTGGCGTTCTCACCCTGCTGCTACTCGCCTGTCTGCGCTGCAGCATAATTCGGCCTTCCCGCTCACCGCCTCATGAGACTGTGCGAGCAGCAGCAGGCGATAGTGGAGTTTCAGCTGCAGCACGCACGGGTCAGTCGCTCTGTGGATCAGTTTTCTTTTTTTATATGTCCCAATATTTTGGGTGCTACCCCAATTAAAAAAATATATACATAATGTGGTGGAACCAACCTCGCCACTGCCCGCCTGCTCCCCTTAGACTATGGACCAGCATTTAAAAACACTATTTTCGAAGTTACCCCCCTGTGGCGGGTCAACTTGGGGATGACCGGACTAGGAGGAAATAGGGACGTCTGTTTGCCGGGACAATCCATATGCATTCCCATTCTGCTTACCGGGTCGGTAGCTGATGGTGAAGTTGAAAGGTTGCAGCGCCAAACTCCACCTCAGCAGTCTACCATTGACTCCTGAGACCTGGTTAAGCCAGACAAGGGGATTGTCGTCCGTGACAAGGGAAAACTCCTGCCCGTACAAATAAGGGCTCAATTTCTTCAGTGCCCAGACAAGGGCTAAACACTCCTTCTCCACTGCCGCATAACTCACTTCCCGAGGTAGTAGCTTTCTGCTGAGATATGAGACAGGGTGCTCTCCTCCATCTTCCCCGACCTGGCTCAGCACAGCCCCCAGTCCATACATGGAAGCATCTGTATGGATGAGAAAATGTTTGTTAGGGACTGGGGCAGCCAGGACAGGGGCATTTACAAGAGCCTGCTTAAGTGCCTGAAACGCGGCTTCACAAGCTGGAGACCACAGGACCTGCTTAGGTAAATTCTTCTTGGTCAAGTCCGTCAGGGGTTTAGAAACAGTGCTGTAGTCGGGGACAAAGCGTCGGTAATACCCTGATGTTCCCAGGAAGGCCAGCACTTAGGTCTTGGTGATAGGTGTGGGCCAGTTAGCTACAGCTTCTACCTTGGCTGGCTCTGGTCTCTGGCTCCCACATCCTACCCTGTGACCCAAGTACTGTACTTCTTCCATGCCCAGATGGCACTTGTGTGGCTTCAAGGTCAGGCCAGGGGACCGAATCTTGTCCAGGACCACCCCTACGTGTACCAAGTGTTCTTCCCAGGACTCACTCTAGACCGCAATATCATCCAGGTATGCACACGCAAATTCCTGGAAGCCATCAAGGAGCCTATCCACCATGCGCTGGAAGGTAGCCGGAGCATTTTTCATCCCAAATGGCATGACCTTAAACTGGTACAGACCACTTTGAACGAAATGACGTTTGGGAAGAGATTTTGAATGAGTAGGTTTTTCATGTACGATACGGGAACATGATTTAGATCCTTGGTAAGTTTTGCGAGATCCAATAGTGTGTATGTAGGGGGAACAGTCAATCCATATCTGCCAAGTGACCCTATGTAGGAGGAACAGTCTCTATTCTGCTCTGTGTCAGTGTGTATCATGGTCTCTGAGGACAGGTGTCGATCCATATCTGCCAAGTGACCCTATGTAGGGGGAACAGTCTCTATTCTGCTCTGTGTCAGTGTGTATCATGGTCTCTGAGGACAGGTGTCAATCCATATCTGCCAAGTGACCCCATGTAGGGGAACAGTCTCTATTCTGCTCTGTGTCAGTGTGTATCATGATCTCTGAGGACAGGTGTCAATCCATATCTGCCAAGTGACCATATGTAGGGGAACAGTCTCTATTCTGCTCTGTGTCAGTGTGTATCATGATCTCTGAGGACAGGTGTCAATCCATATCTGCCAAGTGACCCTTTGTAGGAGAACAGTCTCTATTCTGCTCTGTGTCAGTGTGTATCATGGTCTCTGAGGACAGGTGTCAATCCATATCTGCCAAGTGACCCTATGTAGGAGGAACAGTCTCTATTCTGCTCTGTGTCAGTGTGTATCAAGGGCTCTGAGGACAGGTGTCAATCCATATCTGCCAAGTGACCCTATGTAGGAGAACAGTCTCTATTCTGCTCTGTTTCAGTGTGTATCATGGTCTCTGAGGACAGGTGTCAATCCATATCTGCCAAGTGACCCTATGTAGGAGGAACAGTCTCTATTCTGTTCTGTGTCAGTGTGTATCAGGGGCTCTGAGGACAGGTGTCAATCCATATCTGCCAAGTGACCCTATGGAGGAGGAACAGTCTCTATTCTGCTCTGTGTCAGTGTGTATCATGGTCTCTGAGGGCAGGTGTCAATCCATATCTGCCAAGTGACCCTATGTAGGGGGAACAGTCTCTATTCTGCTCTGTGTCAGTGTGTATCATGATCTCTGAGGACAGGTGTCAATCCATATCTGCCAAGTGACACTATGTAGGAGGAACAGTCTCTATTCTGCTCTGTGTCAGTGTGTATCATGATCTCTGAGGACAGGTGTCAATCCATATCTGCCAAGTGACCCTATGTAGGAGGAACAGTCTCTATTCTGCTCTGTGTCAGTGTGTATAAGGAATCCTTAGAACAGGTGTCAATCCATATCTGCCAAGTGACCCTATGTAGGGGGAACAGTGTCTCTTCTGCTCTGTGTCAGTGTGTATCATGGTCTCTGAGGACGGGTGTCAATCCATATCTTTCAAGTGACCCTATGTAGAGGGAACAGTCTCTATTCTGCTCTGTGTCAGTGTGTATCATGGTCTCTGAGGACAGGTGTCAATCCATATCTGCCAAGTGACCCTATGTAGGAGGAATAGTCTCTATTCTGCTCTGTGTCAGTGTGTATCAGGGGCTCTGAGGACAGGTGTCAATCCATATCTGCCAAGTGACCCTATGTAGGAGAAACAGTCTCTATTCTGCTCTGTGTCAGTGTGTATCATGATCTCTGAGGACAGGTGTCAATCCATATCTGCCAAGTGACCCTATGTAGGAGGAACAGTCTCTATTCTGCTCTGTGTCTGTGTGTATCAGGGGCTCTGAGGACAGGTGTCAATCCATATCTGCCAAGTGACCCTATGTAGGGGGAACAGTCTCTATTCTGCTCTGTGTCAGTGTGTATCATGGTCTCTGAGGACAGGTGTCAATCCATATCTGCCAAGTGTCCCTATGTAGGGGGAACAGTCCCTATTCTGCTCTGTGTCAGTGTGCATCAGAGGCTCTGAGGACAGTTGTCAATCCATATGTCAAGGTGTCAATATGTCATATGTCAGGTGTCAATCCACATTCATTGTGATTTAGGAATGTTAGGTGATTTCTGCCCTTTATGGATTAAAACCAGACTCTGCATCAACTGTGTAATTTTCCATGGGAGTTTTACCATGGATCCCCCTCCGGCATGCCACAGTCCAGGTGTTAGTCCCCTTGAAACAACTTTTCCATCCCTATTGTGGCCAGAAAGAGTCCCTGTGTGTTTTAAAATTCGCCTCCCCATTGAAGTCTATGGCGGTTCGCCCGGTTCGCCGGTTCGCGAACATTTGCGGAAGTTCGCGTTCGCCGTTCGTGAACCGAAAATTTCGGGTTCGCGACATCACTACTCACCAATAGCACTTGAAATATACATATGTATATATACTCACCAATAGCACTTGAAAAATACTCAAATGTAGTCGAAATATCAGTGGTCCAGATCATTATGTGAATAAACATTTACAAAGATTTCAGAGTGCAATCCTACCTATCTCTACACCATTACAGCTCTAGACTTGCACACAGGCACAGTAATATCTCAAAAAATAAATTTAAGTATACAAGCTTAATTTTTATCTCATGTGACTGGAAAGCAAGCGTCATAAAAGTCAAGATTTGTAAAATATTTCTTAACAGATTTTAAGCCCTTAGGTAATTGATACCTTATTCTTTTGGGTCAGGACTAATTAGGATTTATGTCACTCAATGAAATGCAAAACGCTCTTCTTACGTCATCCAACTCCACAGTGGAGTAAAATCAAATTAACAGATGTGCTGAAAGTCCATACAAAGAAGAATTTAAAATGTTGTTTCTTCATAAACATTCACAAGTGATAATCATCTATGGCCTTTAGTAGAAAGAGAAGTGACATATTCTGAACATGAACTTCAATTAGACATTGCATGCAGTTCTAAAACACAAATTATTTATGTTGCATTTACCTTTAAGTTTTGTGACAGTTTATCATCATGAATTGTGAATGCAACATAAGCAAATGAATGTTTACAGTGCTTAGCAGAAAAACTTATACCAAATGTCCCACTTGAATGAAAGGAATCAGAGGGAGATTTAACATCCATCTGTTGCAAATGCCAGAACCAGATTGCATAGAAATAATTTAGCACCAGGATTCCTATGAACTTGCTGAGATATGTATGAGAAACTGTCCCTTTTATTTACTCTAATTTTGACAGTTACATTTCATTTCGTGTAGTGGGTAGTTTTAGAGTTACAGTTACAAAGGAAGTAATAAATAGCAGAGAATTCTACAGATGGAAAATATGATTTCCATTTGCATATATTTTGGCTTTGCATCTGTCAAACTGTCACAATTTTTAAGTATGTAAAATGTAATACAAATTAATTTTGCTTAAACATTGCTTTAATTGCAAATACATTTTACCTTTTTTATTGAGTTGACATGGTTTCTAAAACATGACCTATGCTTGTTAATGTAAAAATCTAATGCAGAATAATTTATGAATAGCATCTATTAATGCATAATACATCAAACTATTTGAATAAATGTTACCAAAAAAGTGACATTTTAAATGATGTACATTACCTGGCATAACCTTATTTATTTTCAAATGATTAAAAAAAATGGATGGAAATACAAATATGTGCCATGTTATTATATATATTTACCATAATTTAGGTTTCGCTAGATTGCAATATATGGTATCAGCATAAATCACTGTTTCAGCTTTACATACATAATACTTAGAATTTTCTAACTTTTATTGATTTGCGTATTATATTTGATACAAATCATTGAAC